TGCAGAAAAGTAGAAAACATGATTTACCTCCACCAACATCGCATCCAGAAAAGCGGGGTCTTTCAGATCCACACAGTTTGGTTTCTCCACCCTCACCTTTATCACTTGCATTGAAACAGGCACAGCTAAAAACACATACAAACTTCATCAGTCACAACGTTTATGGTGGCTTCTTATTCAACAGACTCAATATCATCACTTGGTTTGACGTAGCTGTGAATTTTACTCACATCCGTAGCAAATGAATGGTTTCTTCACTCCACAGTCCAAGTCCTCCCATTTTCCAGAGTTGTTGAAAGCTGCAGCCACACAAACCTTAAAAGCTCTGTAGTTAGGGTTATTTTCTGCCCAGTACTTGAAGGAGGAGTTGCTCCCATCGGACCACTTCCAGGAGTCTCTGTAAAGGCCGATCCAATATATCCCTGCAGGTAACAGCTCAACAATCTGCTGGTTCTCCGTCTCGTTTCTCACACTGGCCAGGTCTGTGTGGTGTTCTCTGCAGTAGCTCTGGGCCTCAGTCCAGTTCATCTTGCTGTCAATGAGGACAAATGTTGCATTCGGCCCTGAAAATGGACCACAGAGAAGTGCTGAGTAGAGGCACCACGACATACAGGCATGGTATTTACATCTTTTATTATAAAAAAAAAGGCCTATCTTTTTAATGTTTTTTTTTATTTGGGGTATCACTGTTCATGTTTTATTGTTTTATGGCTCTGTGATATAGCTCTTTCTGTTTGTTTATAACTTGTTTTTCATTATGTTCCTTGCATGAAAGGTACTATATAAATATATAAATATATTCCTATTATCATTATTATTATTATTATTATTATTATTATATATAATTTAAATCCCCCGGGATATAAGGAATGACATCAATTAATTAATACATGTATAAATAAATATGTAAATAATTACATCTTAAAACATCTCTCTCTGCAGTCTCCCTCTCTGAATAAAAATATCCGTTATTTTTACACACAAAAAGACATAACGTTTTTATTTTTCTTGTTAGGAAAGACATTCTGGAGCAGTCTTTGACTCAGAATTAAAACAATGTAAATGTATAGTATTCATCTTAAGTTAATATTCTTACCTGAGCTATTAAAGCTGGTCTAAGACTAAGAATACGGATACAATTATAATCATGCCATAGTCCATCAGGAGAACCGATACATGTGCAGTGTTCAGAATTATATTTGCCAGGCTGTCCAATGCCCCATTGTCTGAACTCGATCTCCCTCAGTTTGTAGAAGCTTGGGTCTGACATCGACCACTTCCAGGTGTACCGCTCATCGTGCAGCCCTATCCAGGCTGACTGAAAGCAACATGAATTGGGTTAATAAAGAATTAATCCTGATGTATTAAGGTCTTTGTAATACAACATGTCCTCCTTTTGTTACCCTCACTCATCAGAGTAAAACTCTGTCTGGTGAAACACAACAGGGGAGGTTTATACTAAAAACACTTAATCTACTCTACTACATATAAGAGGGACATTTTGCACTATGTTAAGTTATAAGTGTTTTATGTAGGCAAAGCTTTAAAAACGTTTGAACCCATAGCCTATACTATTATACCTATATTCATAATAGCTATCAATCGAAAGACAGAGAAAAGTGACCTCACTTGGTTGTATTGGCCTGCCATGTTGTTCAGGAGCTTCACAATCTCATCACTGTCTATAGTGGCCAGGTCTGTGTGTTTCTCTCTGCAGTATCTCTGTGCTTCAGCCATGGTCTTTGGTTGATAAACAAAATGGTACTGACGTTCAGCATGTGAGGAGACAGCGCTCAGTCCTGTAGAGACACAGACATTTTGATTAGATTCAATGTCAATTACTGAACCAAATTAAATGAAAGTTAGACTGTGAATTAAACAACTTAGGTAATTGTCAGAGGGACACCACAATACAAAGTACTAAAAATTGCTAATGGAATAAGATGTAGTATTTTAAATACAAATATATAAAACTCTTGCCTGAAAGAGCGATGATGATCAGAAGAACTTTTTCCATCCTTGTCTCTTCCCTGCTCTTCTCTTTTGGACTGAGACTGTAGATGTGCAGCTGTTGACATTAAATATTAGGTTAAACATTAACTAACATCATGCGTTAGTTAGCTGCACTTTCGACTTAATGCAAAGTGGATTATGGAAATGACAGCTTTATTATATCAGGCTTATTTACTTGCATTTGCACATGTATTTACAAGGAAAGACAAATAGAGTAATATGGGCGTAGGACTGGTGATACACAGCAGGAAAACCAAATTCATGCCCATACAGAAAAAAATACAAAAAGTCTGAAATAACACTGATCAATTCATATAATGAGACACTTTTACAGTTTACAAGCTAATTCATTTAAAAGATTACAAAACCATTGTAAGAATTATTACACTAACTTCCAGCTTCATACTTTGGGTATTCCACTAAAACATTTGTACATGCTTTAACCCTCCTGTTGTGTTCGGGTCAAATCTGACCGATTTATTACTTTCATCAATCATAACTTTTTGTTTTACATTCGATTGCATTAAGGCTTTATGATATATGATAGACATTTGAACATACAAAATTGCTGATTACCACTTTCATTGAATTTTGGATGATTTAGTCAACTTTGTTACACCCAT